GATGAAGAGAAGTCTGAAAGGAAAGCGATTCCGTGATGTGGATGAAGTCAAAGAAAACACGCTAAAGGCTTTGAACAGTATCCAGCCTCAAGAATTCCAGCACTGTTTTGAGCAGTGGCAAAAGCGTTGGGACAAGTGCATTAATGCACATGGACAATACTTTGAAGGGGACTAATATACAGTTCAATAAAAACGCAAAAATAAAAAATAACAAAAATAAATTCCGGTTATTTTTGGGTCCCCCCTCGTATTTATCATTAGGAGCGCTGTACTGCAAACTCACAATGTAAACATAACATGCAAGACTTAAAAAAACAGACACATTTCAAGATCTTCTAAGTAAGCAATTTTCTTGAAAATGACACGACCATTGCTAGCAGATCCACCTACCAGCAACCAATGTGTCAAACTCAAATCTAATAACATAATGTTACAATTTTGTAGTGTAGAGAAAACTGAAGTTACAATTACTAATTCCATGTTACTGAACATTTCTTCACTGTCACCACAAAAGCATGCCTTGAGCATGTCAGCATCCTCTAAATATAGTCACCATGATATTTCAGTACTGTCTTCAGTCACTTAACTTTGTGTCAGAAATATAAAAGTTCATTCACCTGACAGCTAACAAACATAGCTCAAAGAGTCTGTGGTATCAAGATGCTAACATGTTTCGTAAAGCACAATGAGATTACCTGTAAATATTGTTCACATGTTTACAATCAACAACCATGTTAATTTTCATACGAATAATTACAGTGGTTCATTTTATTTTATGATGACATCAAAAAGGAAAACCTGTATTGCTAACAACTGCAATTTTATTTCCAACTTACAAAGAGAACATACTCGGTGGTGCCAGTTTCCTTCAGTGGCAGATAAAGACATACGTGAGAAACATGGACATGCTATATTAACTTAACATAAGAAAATCTACAAAAATGAGAGTCTTTTCATTTTTGAAAGGAATAAATACAAGATAATTCTTTTATTCATGAAACAAACATAACTGTGCACACTTGCAGCTGTAGCATCATATTGTCACACTTCAACATAGCTGACAACTTGCTACACATTACTTATTGCCACCACTTGGGTATCACATTTACAGTTGAAGTACAGTCAACTCTCGATTATCCGGGACAATGGTGCACATGGAAATCATGATTAATCAAAAACCCGGTTAAGACAAATGTTATTAAAAGTAGTACTGTAATACTGTACCTTCATAATACTATAGGCCTACCCGTATTTAAATTTACTCAACCTCATTTTTATGTCATCTCATGGCCTATTTAATACTTTTTTTTACATTATACTGAAGTGTGAATTAGTTATTTCAACCAGTGTCCAACAACATCCAACACTTTTTACAAATATTCACACTTAACACTTAAAAAAAATTAATATTGTTGTTTGCTTTTTCGCGGCATTTTCCTTTTACGGATATCTGTACGAAGCCTACGTAATATTAGCTTGTCACTTAATAAACTGTTCTCTTCACTCTCAAGATAGTCTAGTAAGGATTCCAAATGATTAAGAGCAGCACCATGTGATACTTTCTTGCTAGCAGCACTGTCCACCTCTTCCTCATTCTCACTTTTTTCCCGCTCTTCTGGCTGCACCCCCACTGAACTTACGGTTTCGTCACGGCTTAACATTTCGAAGCCCGGCTCACACGAGTTTCTGTTGAATACTTAACACAACACGCTTCCTTTTACACCCTGACATTTTGCTAATGCACTTGAAGATCGATACAAAGAGATCAACTGGGGCGGTGTATCTGTCCTTGAAACTTTCCACAAATCCTTGCATTCTTTCACCCTTACCCTAGAACATTGTGTTAGCATAATGGGACCAAAGAATGCAGAGCTTGGTTCACACTAGTGCGAAAATAGTGTTACAACACACCATGTGAAACAATAGTGAATGAATATTAAACAACATATAAGCCTCAAAAAAGCCTCAGTAGCCCCGGTTAAGCGGCAAACCAGTTAATCCGCCCCCGGATAATCAAGAGTTGACTGTATATGGAAACACTTGCCAATGTAAAACCTGACAAGGTGTCTCAAGAGAGAACATTACTTAGAACAGCTACATACCCTCATCTGACAGTCTCAGTCTCTTTGTTGACTAGCCTAAGTTAACTACCTTACAGCAAGAGCAATGGCACACTTCTTAATACAGCCTGTGTTATTAATATAAGGAACCCCTAATACACTAAACCTTCTGATAACAAAGTTGGGACTTTGAAGCACAAACTGAATCCTTTCCACACCAATCCCTAAAAACCTTAAACAAGTAAAAAATTCTATGGTGCTGAATTCACAAGTATCATGACACAACGCTTGTCGTGACTGCTATGCTATCTTCATGTGCGAAGTAGCTACATTTCCCACCACTGTAGGTCATGTTCTGGTCCTACTGTTGGAGAGTAAACTTATGTGCTACTCCAAAATGGCTAATATGTCAGGTGCAAGTTATTAACCTAACTAATCAATGCTTGCATTTTATGCTATTTTCCTTAGCCAATTCAATCCATTTTGAAAACAGAAAAAAGGAGTCAATGCTTTTGTTGTCAGATACTAAAAGAGACAATGCATCTGTTAGATTAAAGCAAATACAATGAATGATGGTATAATTAGCCTTTTCATTGCTACATTAGGAAGCACTATGGTGGCTCCCAAACATTACGGGTACATTACACATGGAGTATGCCTCCAAAACTGACATTCAAATTAATTTTTCGCAACTGTTATATACTTCTTCACTTTGCACACATGTAATGGGAGCCATCATGCAAGCAGTTGACGAAAAGAGACAGTAGTTACAAATGCTTATTTCCACAATAACAGTAGTCAAATTATGAACTGCTACAGTTTACACTAATCCCAAAAACATAAGAGTAGCTAATGGATAAGTTTAGAAATGTATAAAGTAAATAAAACAGACACAATATGGCCTCAAATGCAGCAGGGAGGAAACATTTGGACAACTAAACAAAGTGATGTGGGTAATTTAATTTATTTACAGCATAAGAAAAATATGTTTCACACAGTCATTCAAAGATGTACAGTAAACTCACCTCCCAGTTGGACCATTTGCATGCAAGATGTATGCAGAAACAGGCCACAACTGTCGGCTTGTACTGAAGACACATGGTGGTCAGATGCAGGCTACAACAAAAGAACAGCCCTTAGCACAACACTATTACATTCACACCACACAAATACTGACTACTCTGAAAGACAGACAAGGTCAACTGTAGAGTCAACATAATGCCCCATCACCAATTCAATGACACCAGAAGTGGTCATGGCCTATATCCAATTTCTCTAGGACAAAACAGCAGAAAATGAGAATAAAGCAGCAAGTGAGCTTCTAATTTTGATGTGGTATACAGCATGCATCACATATGAAAAGGATGAGCTAATATTCTTAAAATTACACCAATGTCATGCTCAGATATGAGGAATCAGATTTTAAATGCATATTTTTATTTCTGTGAGACACCTCTGAAATTTAAATTTGGTATTATTTAAAGGTGAAATCTTTTAAAATTTAAAAAAATGAAGACTTCTTTCTTGTAATCTACTAATAAGACTTTGTGTTAAAAGTAAGCTATCACTGATCTAAAATCTGATCAGTTTTATTATAAAGAGGTTCATGCACAATTTCTACAAAATAACAAAGTCTATTACAGTGAAATCTAGTAAGAGACTTAAAACTGTATGCTTGTTTATAGCCTTGGCTACTAATGTACAAGGTTCACTACAAAATTACCAGAATAAAAAGCATTCTATCTGGTTATGGGCATCAACTAAAGACTGTTTACTGCTTGTTATACCTGATATATAAGGGAATTAATTCTGAATATTTAGTCATGTGCCATTTCCTTCAAAAACCAAAGGTATGTCTTTAACACTAGAACTTTACCCCAATGGACAAGACAACATAAGTAATGACAGGGCCTACATGTATGTTCCCTGCTGTAAAGATTCCTCCAACCAAGAGTATCACTGTTTCGTGCCACATGACCATGAATTGATGTTTTACTTTCATGAGGCAAAATAACTGTCAGAAATGCTAAACAAATTAGACAGTATACAGTGTGGTACGTTACAACAGAGAACACATGCCCTCAGTTTTAGGTTTTAGTAACAGCCACAATTCAAAGCCTCCACTCAACCAAAAACATTGACGGTATGTGCATTAGGTGGCTCAGATGAGTGGAAGTTGAAATGTGGCAACATGAACTAAGTGCAGCACCTGTTCGATGCCATAAAGTACGATGTTTGAGCTAGATCCTTGCTGGCTGTGGGTTTGTTCAGGCATTTCCAAGTGATTGGGTAGCAGAAGTACAAGGCCCGTCCACACACGCCCGACCACCGCCGGGCGGGTGGCCACCGGGAACAGAAAACACTCTGTTATACAAAGTGTATGTTCACCCAGTCACCAGCATAATAAATAGTCCAAACACTGAGAGATGTTCCCACTTTAATTTAGCCACAAAAACATGTAGGAACAACTTCCACTATGGACACTGTTGCTGTATATACAGTAGTGAACAACACAGGAAACCAACAGATTTGTTACAAACAAAACATTCTTAAGTCAGGAAGCACACTAAATGTTGTCAATAATACACACACCTTAAATAAGGCCAAAACTGAAATACTAACATTAAGCAGAGTACAATGTTGAAATTTATGACTGGAGGATATGATCCACAAGTGTGAACAGTTTCCTTGCCTAATTAGCTACACAGACACATAAAAGCAAAGGAAGCCAAGGTCTAGCTAGTGAACTGCTAAGCTATAAAGTTCCTTGTTAAGTTCCTGTAAGTGACCAGTAAGCTAGTATAGAATCTCAAAAGGTTTGTGACAATGGTTGATTCTTTATATCAACATTATGACAGACACTACCAAATTCCTGAAGTATATTTCTGAACACAATGTTTCCATGGTTGGCTACTCCTGTCTTCAGGTGAATGGTTGTCATTAAACTGACATTTTGAATACTGCTGTAGTATGCCACCCTGATGGTCTAGTGATTAGCATACTAGACGAGTATTAAAAATATCATAGACCCAATCCTATTAGCACTAATATTAACATACCCATTAAAATCATTATCAGATCCAGAGACTGAGAATGACAATTCTGTGAATTATCAGGTGCTGGCGTACTGGTATAGTGGTGAATACTAATGGTGACAAAGAACTGGTAGCATTAGTGACAGATTTCAAAAGGGGAGACAAGTAAAATTTTCACAACTGGATTTGGGACACAGGTATTGAAATGGTAGAAAATCACATGTTGAAAATTTCTCTATAAGGAATGAATCATTCATTACATACAATTTATAAAATCATAAGTGGAGGTGCTGTTTAAACCAAGAACTTCATGTGGGGCATGGAAACCAATGACAATAAAGCAAATTTATGCTTCACTTGAGGCCTTATGGGGACGGTGGTCTTTTCTGACAGTTTTGTGCAGTACCATACCAAGCTGAATTACTATAGTAACATAAATCACATCCCCAAAATCTGCAAATATCATGGCATTCACCAATAAGATCTCATTTAAACTGTGCAAGTTTCAGTATCTTCAGTCAATGTATATATTTATTATGAATTTAAAGTCATATCTCCTCCATCCTCAAGCATTTAAAATGATTTAAATGCTTCAGTTTTAAGAGTGGAAGATTTTCACACTTCTAGCTTACTTACGTTGTCCAACATATATAATTAAGTTCAAAATAATTTAAATTACAATTACTGACATCAACACCAATAATTTGAGTTACTTGCTTCTTAACGCCGCACCATAGCTCAAGCGGTTAGTCACTGGCTTCCCACTGCGGCAGCCCGGGTTCAAGCCCGAGTCTGGTTAAGTGGCATTTGTGGTGGACAAAGTGGCGCTGGGGCGGGTTTTCTCCGAGTACTTCGGTTTCCCCTGCCAATCTTCATTCCACCAAGTTCTCCACCATCATAATCACCCAGGGCAGGTACAATAGGCCAATCAGTGGCCACCGTGCCGAGTGGACCCAACTGGACTCCACCCCCCACTAGTGAATTAAAAAAAAATACTTGCTTTTCATGTGATTCTTCCACCCCAATGAGTTCCTGATTATTGTGGTTAGAGGATCTCACTGAGTACAGTGTTATTACATAACGAGAATTACAGCCTTCTGAGTTCCTTAATTAGCCCCTTCCTCTATTCACTACTGGTACTACTTCCTTCGCATATCTCCTATAATGAATATAAATGTATGTACATCATGTATAAATAATGACACACTGAACGACTGTTAGAAATCTTGACAAAAGATAAGTTTTATTGGTGTCTTGTTAAATAATCATCCCATCAATGCTATGCTGTAGCTGTGAACATAATAACTGAACCAATATTCTAATTAGGAAAACACTCCTCTTCAATGCTTTATGTCTGAAGGCCACCGATCTTATTAACAATGTCGGATTATTTTTATACAAAAACATATGAAAGATGACACTGTTAAATGCTTTACCTATTTATTTATGACAGGAACTGAATGATATTTAGAGACATGGTTTCTAGGAGGAACAAAGAATCAATCAACTTGACTCATGTGGTACCACTTCTGACTTGCATTCAGGACATGTTCAGTTCAAATTTCAGCAGTAACACCAACTACTTTAACTGAGGATTTCTGTGGTTTTCCTCAGTCCCTCCAGGCAAATGCCAGGACACCACCTTAAATTAGGCAATGACCAATTTAATCCGCACCACTATTTACTATCACCCTACTGTTCAATACTACAGTCTTAATGACAAAACAAAACAAGCAGGAAGAAGGAACGGTAGGGTAGTTTTCACACACAAGTGAATATGAGGGGGGACCCAAAAATAACCGGAATTTATTTTTGTTATTTTTTATTTTTGCATTTTTATTGAACTGTATATTAGTCCCCTTCAAAGTATTGTCCATGTGCATTAATGCACTTGTCCCAACGCTTTTGCCACTGCTCAAAACAGTGCTGGAATTCTTGAGGCTGGATACTGTTCAAAGCCTTTA